CGGCGAGTTCTTCGTAAATTTTCCCGTAGTCGGAATTTCTCTTTTATTCAAAGGAAACGTTGTTTTGCGCCAAGTAATCTGGCTGACACCTCCAAAACAGGATTATAGCGCAATCCCTGTTAAACCAATTCCAGCAATGCCTTGTTTGATGCCAAATTACTTCACGAGAGCTTCAAGGTGGACGTTAAAGGAGACCTAAAGCTTTCTAACCCGACGTACTGAACACACCACGAGAAGAAGCTAAAACCTACTAGATTTTGAAGTGTTGTAACACGGAAGGTTTTCTTGGTTATGTAATTCTTGGGAAACGTTAAAAAACAACGTGGTATTTAGTGTAACAAGAATTTCGAGTTTCGGTTCCTCTCATTGGGAAACTGGTTTCTCTCTGATTGACTGGAAAAGATTCAACGCAATGAAGCTTCATTTGGAGGCTTCTAGGATCTAACCGATTGAAGCCATAGAGATCTAACAAGCTCTACATGACTTTCTACCTTTGCGGACTTTGCGGGTACCTTTCGTGAAAAATTCTTACGTGCATCAGTTTCAATAAAACGTCAGCAAAACGAGGAAGCTTAAGCATGTTTCTAGAAACATTCATAGCGCATACATGCTTGCCCAATGTTTCCCATGCAGTATTGCCACATGGGAATCGAGCACAATTTAGCCAGAATCTGAGCATGCGAGCAGTTGCGAACACGAGCAAGCGAGATCTCATCTAATTTTGGCGAACAATTCGAGCAAAGGCCAAATTTTGCGAGCATTTTTAGATTGAATGGGACCATTCGATACCCCTATCAATCGATGGGTCTATGGATGTGAGTTCCACTCAGCTGTATTTCTTTCATAAAAGCTGAATTTGTGAGTAGTGTTCGTAGGGGCTATTGGGTGAGTTTTATGGGATGGTGCGGTATAGTTATTCTCTGCTTGGGTTATCATATTCAGGAATCTGGGGCATATCTTCCCATTGGCATCTTTTTATATCATGTTGAGTCTGATGCCTTTCCGCAAAAAAGTGCTGCAGCTGCCACTTGGGTGATCTCTTCATGTCTAGGCAGGGTTGTTAGGGACGACAGAAATGTTAGTCAGATACCGTAGACTGTTTGTGCTTTGTGACGCACTGCTATGTTAGTCTCCTGTAACACTAACTCAGAGCGCCGGTCGAGTTTACAATTTCAATTTGAACAAAAGTTCCGGTTAGTAAGTTCTTGTTTATACTTGATAAAAGTTCTGCGCGTTTTGTTGAAACACGGCGCAACATGAACTGCAACATCAACAGAGCCTCGTGGCATAATA